CACATTTCTATTTTCAGATGTGTGTGTGTGTGTGTGATAAATGGTGATGTAAAATACAAGACTTACTATGAGTCACGATATGATTCACCGCTTGAAAACAGTTCAAAACAAGCGTATTCTAAGGTGCTACTAGGTATTCTTTTTTTACAAAAAGATTTAATTGACAGATAAAAGTTGGATATATTTATACAGTGTATATGCAGAATGTGTACACTGATGTTGTGATACATGCAGACGTTATAGATGACTAAAGCAACTTCCGGTGTGCTTAGGTGATCAAGTGGTAAAACACGCTGGCTGTACTGTAATGCACGTCTTTTGAATCCTGGCTTTTCCATCGCTGGTGTCATGAACTCAGGCTGCTTATTCAGCTGCATTGTGCATCATGTAGTCCTTCATTATAAAAGCCTCTTAGACACTCACCAAGGAGTTTAGCAAACTGCACAGAGGGTATAGGCCCTCAAAGGCTGACCTCACATCACACAGTAGCTGCAAGCTTTGCGTCCCCAGGGCCACTCTCATTCAGCACAACTGGCTACAAATTCAGAGGTTTCCACAACCATTTACAGGTTTGATAATTCACTAGAAAGACTCGCAGAACTCATTGAAAGCTGTTGCAAACACATTTATCACATGTAAATGCCACGACCACTCCAGTGGAGTCTGTGTGACAATGCCGGTCACCTGGCAGAAACCAGACCAGAGGTATCGTCCCCACGGGGTTAAGCCTCCTGGAAGTCCTTGGCACACACCGCATGCGAAGTCAGCCGTGAAGAGAATAGCTGGCCTCTCTGCCTGAAGTTTGGGGACATTGGGTTCATTTATAATTCTGTTCTATTTTGTCTTTATTACTATTTGTTCATTATCTGTAGAATTGTATTCTGGGCCCAGGAAAGGTTAGGAACAATTAGATGTTCCTAGAGATGTGGAGGTATTGAGGCACAAGAGGACGGGCGGCCAAAGTGCTGACCCTGAGCCCCGGACTGTGAAGTCCTGAAGGTGATCCTGAAGGTGACATGCTGAAGCCAGTCCTTTGTTTTACAAAGTTCCCCTTCTGACTGCGTATAGGTGTGGTCTTACCTTGACTTAATGGTCTTAGCTTTTGTGATGGTATATAGGTGTGGTCTCACCTTGACCTTGTGGTCTTAGTTTTTACAGCACTATTGTCTATCTTTCTCATGCCTGCCTGTGACTGGAATCACTCTTGAGGTGTGCCCTTGAAACTAGTATATAAACACCTAGAGTTAGAAATAAAATTGCAGCAGCATTTGCAAACTTCACCTCGGTGTTGAGTGCTTTTGTCTGACTGTCATCGCCGAACCTGCTCCCACCTTTCAGAGAACCTGTATCTCCTCGTGAAATCCCGTGTTTGCTGCCCTACGGTCGGTAGCATGTAAAGGGCGTAAATTAGAATGAGCACATGGATGGAGGCGTACAGCAAAGCCTTGGAGGGTACCAAATGCAAAGCTTTGGTCGTCCTCAGGACATGTCACCCTCCCAGCATGAAGTGTGACAATATCAAGACAGTGTTATGCCAGGCCTGGTGGTGCATGCCTGTAATTCCAGCTACTTGGAAAGCTGAGGCAGGAGGATCCAAATATGAGATTAACCTGAGCAACCTAATGAGACTCTATCTCAAAATTAAAACATTAAAAAGGTCTGGGGACCCGGTGTCATGCTCCCTGGGCTCAACCTCCGGTACTGGAGTATGGATGGAGGGAGGGAACGGGGGCGAATGAATGAACACGAACGACCAACCACGGAAACTCACCTGAACTCTTGTCCAGAATCCCGAAGGGGACTTCATCACATCAGCATAGTTGATTGACTTACAACCCACCTGGTTGAACTCAATTACCAGTCTCTCTTTCCTACTTGCAAGTCAGGAAGCTGACATCACAGGGTCCACAACTCCATTCCTTCAATCACACGGTTCATCGTGGCCCCATCTGGAGCACACTCATTAGCATAAACCCTGTAGGAGTCCATGGAGAGGGGCCTGGTTACTGATACCGATCAGGTGTGGTCTAAGGGGCTCAACCATGAAAAGCAGCAATGCTTCTGTCACCTTGAACAGTTCAAGGGTCTAGAGCAGTGGTGGCAAACTTGTGATACATGTGCTCAGCAGGCTGTTTGAATCACTGAAAGCTCTGAAAGGTTCACCATCTCAGGTCTAGGGGTTACCTCCCTGAGCTAGAACAAAAGGCCAGAACTGAGTTTGGAGCCAAATTCCTTACTGCACAGTGGTTATGAGAATTAAGTGAATAGACAAATGTAGAGCTCTTAGCATATTGCCTGGAACACAATTAGTGCTCCTACATACTATTACTTTTTTTTTTTTTTTTTGGTACCAGGGATCGAACTTGGGTCCTTGTGATGACACGGCAGGCAGAGGAACCACGGAGCTAAATCCCTGGCCCCTTACTATTACTATTGATATTAATCTTTGTTTCATTTATTTTAAGTCCTTGACCTGTGGTGCATTAGTCAACTTTTTGTTTCTGCAACAAAAAACCTAAGAGCAACAACTTATAAAGAAAGGGAAAGTTTTATTTTGCCTCACCGTTGTGGAGGTTTCAGTCCGTGGGTGGTTGGACCCATTGTTTTTGGGCCTGTGGTGGAATGGTATAATATGGTGGGGACCCACATAGAGCAGAGCCACTCATCCCATGGCCGGAGAAAATACAGGAGAGGAGTGGCCACAGTCATGTCTGCCCTTTGAGAGCATGCCCCAGTGACCAGAAGATCTGTTAGACTAACTGTATGTCTTGGAGGAAGGGGTTACTGACAATTGAACTCTGCGACTCTCTAGCACTGAGCTACATCCCCACCCTTTTTATTCTGGGAATGGCTCTCACTAAGTTGCCAAGTTGCCCAGGCTGGGCTCTAACTTTCCATCCTCCTGCCTCAGCCTCCCAGATTACAGTGCATACCACTGGGATTACAGTGTGTACCACGACATCCAACTCTGTGCCCTATGTCTTAGTCACCTTACTCATCACTGAGACACACTACCTGATGCCCGAAGTTTAAAGGAGGAGGGGTTTATTTTGGCCTCCAGGCATGGTCAGCTGGCTCCAAGATGGAAAGGGCATGGTAGACCGGTCTGCCACAGGGGAAAGCGAATCATGTCGTGGTGACCAGGAAGCAGAAAGTAAAGGGAGGAGCCAGGAAGGAGATGCACCTACCGGGTCATGGCCCCCGCCCGCAACAGACCCCACCTCCCAACAGCAAGTCAGCTACGGCGCCCCTCCTACACATCATGCTTTTAGGGCCACTTTGGATCTAAACCAAAGCACCCATCTCCATGTCTCCAGCACCTCCCAGTATTGCAGGCCGTTCTGGTACTGAGCCGTTAACACGGGGACCTTTGGGAGAAATTCCAGATCCACACGCCAAGGCCCTCTAAGAAAGCTTTAGTGTTATTTTAATTCCCCTTTTGTTTCCCTTTGCTTTCCCAGTTCTCTATTTTTCACTTTGCTTCAGAAAGTAGGAAGGGCCGGAAGAAAGCTAGGGCTTCTTGCCTCCCCGACATCACCTGGGGTCTTCTGTTCTCAGCCGTTACCTCCTTCTCATCTGTTTCTCTCTTTCCCTTTATTCCTTACCCTCCCTCCACCTTTTCTCTTCTATCCTCACCTGATTTCTCACCCCCATGGGTCTCCTTTTGCAGGAGCGCTGTCCCTTCAGGTTTTTAGCCAAAGCTTCCCTGGCAGCACTCAAAGGGAATTTTGTTTTGCCAGATGCCTTGGAAAACGTGAAGGGAGGTTGCAGACTGGTGACTCACAAAGACCTGTTTCCTTTGACTATCAAGATGTCATAAAAATTATTTTGACTTAGTTGTTTATATATAGAAATCAGGGTTTACATAAGCATCATTTACTGACATATTTTTCTCATGAAATTTTGGAAGATCTAGTCACATTGGCCCAAATTCTTGCATTACAATAATATGCTTATACTGGATCCCCACTTTAAACAAGCTCTGTCCTATTCTTAACTGTTTCCACAATTCCCATGTGTCTGTGTCATCATTTGTGTTACCTGTTTAGATCCTGTAGGATCTGATTTTTGTAACCACAAAGTTAGGCTATTACTAGAAACCCCTCTATCTCTTATCAGTACCCAGAACACAGGAAGCATTATTAGCAAATTTACCAAAATTCTCTTACTAAATAACTCTATTATTATAATTCAGGCACACTAATTTATACACTGAGAGCACAGGTTTAATGATGTAAGGTCAGGCTAATTTTTAAAATACACTGATCTTACACTTGCCATTGAACTGAGGAATAGTGATTCCATTCTTAATTGATGAAGATCTTTGGATAAATACCCAATGTGACATAAATCAGATGTATAAAATTTACCTATATTTTCAACACTTTTATTAGACCCCCCCCAGGGACTGGAACTTGTGCATAATTTCAGTTTTGATTTAAAAACTCAGAATCTTGAAAAAAAATATTTCAAGTCAAAATGAAAAAATAACTGGTTTTGGAAGTCAAACAGTAATTTTAAGGGTTCTTAAGTGACACTGAAAATCATTGAGCCCAATTCTTTCCTTTGAATGTAAGGCAGCTGTCCAAGAAAAAGAAACTCCATGCTGTGTTTTATGTTTTGAAGCTGTAAGAACCTCTTAAAAAATTAGCCACTGTATGGGGGGAGACAGCATAGGGTCTGCTTTTTCAAATACTGCAGATCACACCATGGTTTTTATATTGTTTGGGAAATAACTTTTAGTTGGAGGAACTTCAAGGAGTTCATTTTAAGTTCAATTACATCTGAAGTGATATAATTTATTATAATTTATTAGTCATTGAATACCCATGCACTCCTCCACATTGTCAGCTCCCTTGTGGTTGGGGGGTGGTCTTTGTGAGTAGTTATGACAAGCGAGCCGTGAGTGAAAGTGACATGTGTCACTTCTGGGAGAAAGCACAGAGGGAAACGTACTTGTTAGTTTTTTACCTCTCTTTGTCTCACTCTTTTCCTGCCAGGGCAACAGCATAGCACGGGTGTCTCAAACGCTGGCGAGACACTCTAATGAAAAGATGGAAATAGCTTGGTGGATGGGATGTGTCTAAAGGAGCCATGGTACCTGCAGACAACTTAGTGTGAGTGAAAAATGAGCTGTAATAAGTCAAACTAATAAAATGTGGAGACTGTTTATTGCTGCCACATAACCTAGTTGATTCTGGTTAACACGTTAATAAAATTCTCTCTTATTTTAGTCATGTTTTAGACTTCCTTATCTACAGCATAGTTTATAGTCTTTCACATTTGTACAGATTTGAAAGTTTAGAATTCCTATAGGTAAAACACCACTTGTTGGAAAATGTGTTGGCAAAAGAATTATTTTTACATCTTTTTTATTCTCATTGTGTTTATTGGTACTTTTTAGGTATACAGTACAGTTACATTCATCATTGGGATCTTGTACCTTTACATGACAGGTCTTGGTTTATTTTTGCATCTTGACTGAGAAGAGGGTCTGAAGAAAAATATGTCATCTGTGATTGGCACAAAACAGTCAAATTTAGTCTTACTTAAGGTCTTGATTTAATCTGAATAATTGGGCAACCAAGATTATTTTTGTTTAGCTTATCAGATTGTAAATTTGCTATCTTTATAGCACAGACTAAGCAATTTTGGAGACTAATACAGAAGTTCTTTCAGGACTGAATAATTTACCTGTTTTCATTCATTTTCTTTAATATTTTCCTTTACTATTTCCTTTAATTAATTAATTTCCTTTAAGGGGAAGGAGTTTAATTTTAATTTGTTTTCCCCAAATTCACAGTCAAATGTTAGGCAACTTGTTCTAGCTGTATTGCAGATTATTGGAGAAGACAATACCCAAATCCAGCTCATTTTCTCCATGTCTTTGCTTCCTCTGAAAGTTACAAGATGGATCAAAGGAGGAGAAGATGTGGTGGTCCAGCCATCACAACACGAACATGCCTGAGTCGGGGAGTGAGGATTGAGAAAGGAAAGAACACTCAAACCTGAGCGTAGACGAAGAGAAGTCTGATTTATTTCACAGAAACAGCTCCTTTTATAGGTTCACAGCAACAGGCAGCTTTTAAGGGCACACAACAACAAAATACACCAAGTCATTGTTTTTCAAAGACCGGATTTCCTGACTCTAACTGATAACATCAGATCTTTGGCTAACGAGTTTCCTGTTATGTCAGGGTGAAAGAGTCAAAACAAGCTTAACAAACAGTTTCCTTGAACAGTAGCAAATGTTGATGCCTTAATTATACAGGAAGAAGTTATTTTCCAAATGTCAAACTCCAGTGGGCCATGACTGGGCCCCGACACGAAGAAAAGTTTGAGACTAGACTTCTTCTTCCAGGAATGATGAATTAAGTAATTTAGATAAATATTCCCATTGAAGATAACTAGAAAGCTGGGACAAAATATAAAATCATCTTTCTAAAAATAGCAGAACAAATAGTGAGAAATTACTAGGCTAAAATCCTGGAGAAGATGAAAATTTGCAGCACTTATGCATGATACCCCTGCCAGTTTTTTCTTGAGAATACTTTGTAATCCAGATCAGGGGGTTGAAAGGTTTAACAGTGCCTTTGGGGCTCAGTGGACAAAAGCTGGTATCTCAGAGTGTCCTTCCCTTGAGTTGGGACTAAAAGGACAAAGGTTGAATTGAAGGTAAGCCAACACTGAAACTTCGATTGTTAACGTTCTTAATTGCCTGGCAGAAGCAATAAAAACTTCCTTTGGAGAAAGAGAACATCATAGCATGCCTGAAATAATTTTTGTGAATAATCAAAAATATAGTTGTCAGGATTCAGGAAAAAAGAACTGAGCATACAAAATTAATAAACACTATGAACAGGAATGTAAAGTGCAACAGATTACAGAAGAAGATGCTCAAGGACTCAAGATACAGATCGTAACCAGCTATGTTTATCAAGTTCAAGTAGATCAAAGTGAAAGTGAAGTTTGGATATTTTATCAGAGAACTGAACTGTAGTGTGGGGCTGAGGGTCCAGGTCAGTGCTAGTGCTCACCCAACGTGCATGAGGCCAAGTTCAACCCCAGCACTGCAACAAAGCAACAACATCAAAACTATCGGAGTTTAAAAACAATGAAATAGAAATTCCAATAGTAAAAAAAAACAGAGAGACTCAAATCAAGAAATCAAGGAATGGGTTTAAAGATAAATTAGACAGACATAGTTGGAAAGAATTAATATACATGAGGACAAGTTAGAAGAAGACAGGATGAAGAACAACAAAAATAATGGGCAAAGAAATGAGACAGAATGGGATGAAAATATCTAACATGCTTATTTGGAATCTTGAAACCAGAAGACTAACAAATGGGTCAGAAACAAAATTTAATGAGATAACAGCTGAGATTTTCTCAGCTCTGGCATCAACACAGAAATACAAGAATCTTTATTTTATTTTATTTTATTTTTTTGGTATCAGGGATCAAATTTAGGACCTTGCGCTTGCAAGACAGTAGGCAGCACCACTGAGCTAAACCCCCAGACCGCAAGAATCTTAATGAATCATAGGAACACACAAAAAGAAAGCCATGCATGGACATATCATAGGGAAACAGAAAACCCAAGGCTAAGACAGACTATTAGGAGAAATTAGAGGCAAACATTTTACTTTCAAAGAAATAATAAACTTACTGCCAACTTCTCAGTAGCAGTTGCAGAAGCCAAAGGATTAAGGAGTGACCCCTTTAACGTGCTGAAGGAAATAGCTGTCAACCTAGAGTTTTATACCCAGTGAAAATATCACTGCAACACTGTGAAAACAGCCTCCATTCAGCAATCAAATGTTTCCTCTTCTGGGCCTGCTGCAGATACAAGTCCGTGTGGACTTTTTATCTTTTCCTCAATTTGCAAGCTATGTGCTTTTTGTTGGTAACTTTGCAAGAAGTCAGGGTAGAAGTAAGAGAGGGAGTGGGTAGGAGGGCAAGATGAGGGGTAAGAAAGTTCTCACTTGGCTGACATTTTTGTAGGATGATTTTGTATTCTCTGGGGCTAGCAAATGTTCTCAAGGGAAACTTCCAGAATTCTTCATGAATATCTAATTGAGTGGATATTCTTTATTGATATGTAAGAGTTCTTTATATATTCTGGATAGGAATCCCTTTTCAATAATATCTGATGCAAATATAATTTCGGATTCTATGGCTTACCTTTCTTCTGTTATAATGAATGGGGTCTTGATGAATAGAAGTTATTAGTTTGAGCATAGCTTAATTTATCATTCTTTGTGTTATTTTTCCTTTAAGAAGTTCCATTTGGTCATATTATGATGATGATGATGATGATGATGATGATGATGATGATGATGATGATGATGCAGTACTGAGGATTGAACCTAGGACCTTACCTGTAGTAGGCAAATACTGTATCATTGAGCTATATCCTCATACTATTCATCAGTTTCTTTAAAAAAAAAAGGGTCTCATCATGTAGTTCAGGCTGGCCTTAAACTCTTTATGTTGCCCAGACTGCCTTGAACTCAGTTTCTTCCTTCCTCAAACTCCTTGGTGCTGGGATTACAGCCACCACACCTGACTTTTATTGGTCACTTTTTAATAAACATGCCAAAACCCTTTCCTCATGAATTTAAAATCCAAATTAAACTGAACAGAATCTAATGGTCTAATCAGTACCTATTCCCCACTTTCCCCCTAATTTCAAAATAAAATTGTTGGGAGAAGGGATGAGGGGAAATGTAAACTCTAAAAGCGCAGGGCAAAGGCAACCACTCTGACCGACTGAACCAGAATTCTTTTAATGGAGGTATAGAATTTTTTAAAATTCTCCCTGCCCCAATGATTTAGTTATATCTTAAAGATCACAAAGCAGAGTAAAACAAATCAAAAACTCAAGTGTCTAGAATGTCATGGAAGGAAAGAAATAACCAGTGCTTGGTTATAAATAAGCAGTGTCTGGCCAACAGAATCAGAGGTAGCAGTCTCTAAGGAGAATAGAGAATAGGAAAAATGAGTTAGATTTGGCTTGATGCCTCAAAGTCATCAGTAAGCTAGAAGCACTTAATACAAAGATGGAGAGTAGAGTCTGAGTGCATGATATTAAGGGTAGGGAGTAGACAGTTCAAAGAAAAAACATGTATCAAATGCTTAAGGAAAGTAGATGGTAATAAAAAATAGTTTTGCAGAAGCAAGTAAAAATGTTCTTTTCAGTTTTAAGATATAGGAACATAATCTTTAAACCTTTGGATCTTAGAGCTGAGTAGAAATCATAAAGATCATCTAGTTAAATTTCATCTGATGCTTAAATTTTCTTTATATATAGATAATGTGTATGTGATGTACTATACATTTGAAAAAGCTAGAATAAAGGATTTTGAATGTTTTTACCATGAATAAATGATAACTGTTTAAGGAGTTAAATATAGTTAACCTGATATGAACATATAAATATGTTCAACCTGATAGATGTACATATATAGCAAGCATTACATATTACCTCATTACTATGCGCAGCTTTACTTTTTATGTATCATTCAAGATAAACATTTAATTTTTCCTTTACAAATTTCCTGTCATTGTGTTTATTTTTATATTCCTCTTGTTGTCACGCCCCGTTACCTTCACGAGCAGCCTGCTGGGTCTTGGCATAGCTTTGAGTGAAATTCTTCCTTATCATGAGTGCAAAGCTTTCCTCCTTAAATTTCACTGATTGCTGTATTTGAAACCGGAGGACAGGTGTCAGCTGTGAGGGAGTGTTCTCTTACTGATGTACTTATTTAATGGCATTCCAAAGGAGATGATAAAAAGGGTCTAACTTGATTTTCTAAAACCCTGGGATCAAACTTAAATGAATAGGGCAGTTGAAGAACAGTTGTTCTCCAAGAATGAATTATTGGAAGGTCCTGTTTTTAAGCTTGGCAAGGCAAACACATAACTCCATGGTTAGCCATGTGGTGGTCAATATGGCAACCACAGATCAGAAACTGGGGGAGGAGCGAGCTATGTAATTCGGGAATGACCAATTGAAAGCAACAGAATGTCCACCTAAAAGTGGCTCAACCCTCATGACCTTACTGAGCCACTTAAAACATGGGTATTGGGTATGAGTTTGCGGTTCCTCAGTTTTCTCATTTTAGCCATAAGATGGCACAGCTGCATTAAACATTGTATCCTCAAAGGGCCCGGTCTGAGCAGCAAGGGAGACTGGAGATGTCTCTTCTTTTTAAAGTCCCTCTGAGCAGAAAGAAAAATCCAGCCTTTTGCAGACTTCTTGGGCCAAAATTAATCACATGCCTATTGTTAGCCAGACTGGCAGAAAATGAGAGTGCCTGGATTTCCAGACTCCAAAGCTGGGCATGTGGTTCGCTGTGTGACCAAAATAGGGCTGTTATTTTATTTGTGTATTTAATTTTTTTTTAAGCAAGAAAGCTGTGGGAAATAGCTGTTGGGTTGGTTATCGATAGTGCCTGCCAGAGCAGCTCAGGAGAAATTATACACACCAAATTCCCCGGGCGCCATGTCAGAGTGCAGGCCAGTGCCTCTTCAGAAATGTATTTCTTCCTCTGATAATTCCTAATTTTCCACAGTGACTTAAAAGAATGATTGGACTAAATCTGCTGCCATTAAAGATTTTATAGAAGTGAAAAATAAAATTATTCCTAAAAGCCAGTGCTTCTACCCCAAACTTTTTACTCTAGCTTTTATTTAACCACTCTAAAAGCTGTATAAAATCACCTCTGATTTGCACATTATAGAATAGAGTCTCACATGGAAAAGAATAAATCATTTTCAAATTACACATTCCATCTAGAGCTGACAGTATCTGATTCCCAGCACTGTCTTTTATTTCTGACATGCATTTAGATGGGAGTGATCATATTTGCAGTCATTCTCAGGATAAAATTTTCTTCTCAAAGCTAAATTGTACGGATTCTTTTGTTTTGAAGAAGAAAGCAGTTATTCTTCCTTTTTGAAATTACACGTCAAGT